ACCGAATCAGAGCAGTAAGGGGCGCATATACCCATGTGTGTCGTCATGTTATATGTATACATAAACCAGAGCTGCAGCTTTACGGGTGACATTAACCAGAAGAACTCTCACCTCACTTTTATCAGTAGTAGTAATCAGTGGTGGAAGAAGTATTCAGATGCTTCGTTAAATAAAAGTACCAATACATGAATGTAACAATGCTCCATTACAAGTAAAAGTCCTGCATTCATAACCCATAATAAGTATTATCAGCAAAATGTATTTAAGTATCAAAAGTAAAAGTAGTCTGCAGGAAAATGACTGCTGTGACTTTTAATTGATGCATCAGTGTGAAAGCAGCATTTTACTGCTGTAGCTGCTTGAGATGGAGCCTGTTTTAACTACTTTATATACTGTTAAGTATTTTCGTCCACTGGTTCCCAACCTGGGGGTTGAGCCTCTCCAAAAGGTCACAAGATAAATCTAAGGAGTCAGGAGATGATTAATGGGAGAGGAAGCAAGAAAAAACAAAGCTGTATTACACAAATTTGTATTCTGGACTTTTGTATTTATTGCTTTTTTTGGATTATTTGAACTCTTTGGTTGCTTTGGTGGAGCTCCAAACAACTCATAGATATCTGAAACATGACAAGAGGACTCCATTACCGGTTGCTTTGTTTAAGAGTTTACAAGCCAACAAGATTGGGAACCACTGGTGGCTGTTAATGTTAAATCTTATTCTGAAAAGTAAGTAGTTATCAGATAAATGTCGATTTTCCATTGAAAATGTAATGGAGTAGTATTCAGTAGCATAAAATAGAAGTAATTAAGTACCTTGTTTTTCTACTTTTACTTTTACTTTTTTATACTTAAGAAAGTATAGCAAACACATAATGACCACCTGCAATCGTAGAATCCCTTAGGGGTGCTTAAATGCCTCGCTGTCGGCCATTTCCTCTCATATCCCATTGTAACTAATGAGTGTGTAGGTGCAGGTTGCGTTCTCCATTATTCAACATTCATAATCCAACATTATTTGATCGATCTATCTATTTATTGATTTGTAGGACCACCGTGTGTAATGTTGTGGGCAGTGCACTGAAAGCAGTTGATGTGAGAACAGAAAATGCCACAGAGGACGCGGCACACCTGGACGCCTTCTGCATCAAAGACAAAGGTCAGTAAACGCACCAACACGGATTTATGCACTCATAATTTTTAAACCCGTACACAACGTTGTGAGCAGTGATCAGGATATGAATGGATGAGCTTTGTGTGTATTTGTGTGTAGTTCTCCTTCCTGAGATATTTACTGAGGTGTGAAAGAGGCTGTGTTCCTGCGTTCCTTCCATCTACACCTCTACTTTCAACACTCTCCATCCTGCAAGTGTGTGTGTGTGTGTGTGTGTTTGTGCTTGCCACTTCTATGTTTTTACTCATATCTGTCGTTATATACCAATCTTTCTGCCTTCTCATGAATATCCAAGTGTTTGATGTGTATGTGATGATATAAGTTGATCCATGAATGTACGTAAGCCCCGAAAGAACTGAAGCTAAATTCCACACACCTATTCCACTGGCATGGATCTGAGAGGGGAGGGGGCCAGTCAGTGGTTGGTTTTGGATCAGACTATTATTGGACGCCACCCAGAAGAGATCTCTAGTCGTGCCCCATAAACAGCAGAGCTACTGTGGCTGTTTATATAGTACACACCCCGAGGCTAACACAAACACACTGCTGTGGGAAAAATGAACAGTACAGATCCACTTAAAGCAATGACACAGCTCCACAGAGTTGTGGTGGTGGCTACAGTTATGTTTGTGGAGCTATGGTTATGGTTATTGTGATGAAAGGGGGTATGGAGGTATAAAGTGCCACGTTAGTTCAATTATCAGGGCAACGCACAATACGTGTAATTTGAAAATTACATTACAGTAAATTAAGTCAATTCTGTTGTGTAAAAACTGTTTTAAATGTCCAATGTGAAGGATCTATTGGCAGAAATGCAATATAATATGCATAACAATGTTTCAATAGTGTATAATCACCTCAAAATAAGAATAATTATGTTTTTGTTACCTTAGAATGAGCTGTTTTTATCTACAGAAT